TTTTTTTTTACAAAAAGAAAACATCAGGAATATATTAAAGTAATATACAATTGGGATACATGCACAATATATTTTTAACAATATGAAAAACAAAATAATTTAGGCAATTTAGACACTAATTTATTATCTATATGTATACCCAATTTAAAGTCCAGTTCATTTACAAAATTATTTTTAAATATGCCAGACATTGATTTTCAGGTCTTGTATAACAAAAAAAATATTGTTTTACTATTTTTAGTGCCGATATATTTAAAATTTTACCAAATAACCCCCATAGATGTAATACATATTTATAATACGGTTTATTTCGATTGTGTAGCTTTGTGCTTAATTACAAACAAAACAAAAACGTTTTTTATCAATTAACTTAAGAGATAAAACGGAATTGAGAAACTTTTGGCTATAAAAAACATTAACTCAAACTGAAACAAATATTTGGTAATTTATTTTTCATTGTATAAATTTGTCTTACCGTCCTTTTCTTTCTTTTCCTTCTTCTTTCGTTCTCTCAACTCTTGATTCTTTCTTCTAATTTCCTGAATAGGTAATAGAGACTTTCGTTCCCAGTCACCAGGTGGCAACACAATACTGTCATCCAGAAACTCGTTAATCGCATGTAAAATATCATTTCTTTCTTGAGCTTTGTAAGCCACCTCGTGGAAATTCTGTAATACGATCATAACGACAGAATAAAAAAATCTTAGGTTTTCTTATGTTAGCGCAACATGATTATTACGCCACTCGTGAAGAAAAGCAAAAAACCTATTAAAAGTTATCATAAGCTAGACAAACTTATTGCGAAAACGGTTATAAAAACAGGTTAGTTGCAGATCATATTTTTCCCACAATTCTTTTAATTTGTCCGTTGCGTCTCGAAAACAGAGGTGTGTGAATACAGCATTTCTGATCTATCTTTTGTTTCCCACAATTCACTGTCCAGTAAGCATTTCGTCATAAGTGGGGGTGGATGATGAAAGACAAAAGATTATATGAAATTCTAGTTATATATGCAGTATCATACTATAAAACACAGAAAGCCGGCGAACTGTTGAAAAAACAAAATGCCTAAATTGTAACTTTTATACTGCATGCATAAATATCGTTTCATAGAATCTTTTTCCTCTCATCATCTACCCAAACTGGTGAGTTCGGATGTTGAACGAAAAGCTTACTGGACAACGACTTGTAAATTGATGTTTTTACACACCTGTGATTTCGAGCAGCAAAGGAAAAACTAAGAGGAACGTGGAAGAAAGAAAGGAAAAAAAACATATGCATTTACCTTGATTTTATGACAACTTTTAGGCCTAGTTACTTTCAACATTTTGGAAACCGTGAATAGGATTTTAAGTGAGCTAGATGTACGTTGAAGCTAATGAATATAAAACTGTGAGATTTACATAGCGAATTTAGGAATTGCAGGAAAAAACTGATGAAAAATTAAAATACAAGCCAAAGGAGGGCCATGGCCGCATGCCCCCTGGCTACGCCAGTGTAAATAGGCTTGTTGTAAAAGTAATGTGTCCTCTAAAACAGTATTGGTAAGTTGAAAAGTAGTGTGTCCTCTAAAACATATTGGTAAGTTGTCATCAACTAGGTATACTCGTTGTAAAAGTAATGTGTCCTCTAAAACAGTATTGGTAAGTTGTGTTCAACTAAGTATACTCGTTGTTGAAGTAGTGTATTCTCTAAAACAATATTTGTTGCGTTGTCAGTAGGTAAGGAAAGTTATTGTAGAAGAATGAGTATCCTCCAAAATATGTTGTCAGAAGTTAGATAGACATGTTGAAGAAGTAGAATGGCCCGGCATGGCCAGATGGTTAGGGCGCTCGACTCACAATCCGAGGGTCGCGGGTTCGAATCCCAGTCACACCAAACATGCTCGCCCTTTCAGCCGTGGGGGCATTATAATGTGACGGTCAATCCCACTATTCGTTAGTAAAAGAGTAGCCCAAGAGTTGGCGGCGGGTGGTGATGACTAGCTGCTTTCCCTCTAGCCTTACACTGCTAAATTAGGGACGGCTAGCGCAGATAGCCCTCGTTTAGCTTTGCGCGAAATTCAAAAACAAAACAAACAAACAAACAAGAAGTAGAATATCCTCCTAAGTATATTTATTACGTTGGAAGAAAATTCGTTTTCAAAGTAGTGTATACTTCAAAACAGTACTTGTGACGTTGTCAGTGGCTAGATAAATTTTGTGAAAAATTTTATTCCAGCAGTACTAGTTGACACCAGCTAGTTAAATAGTGTATCTCCAAATTAATTGTTGTTTATTAGTTGCAGTTATTGCAAGTAATAATATTGGATAAATAAATAAAAAGACAAAAAGTCCCTTTTCAAACACGATATCTCAAAATTCCTTATAGCACTGTTCTATTTGATATATCTTTTACTTGTAATATACGACATTGGTAAAAGAAATCACTCTTTAAGGCTCACACACCGGCTAACTTCACGATTTCTTTCACTACCTAACTTTTAATTTCTATCTGAACTTACTTGATTTACGCTCATTTGATCGCACATATGTATATGTATATAAATTGTCCAACTGAGGCCTCGAACTTTCTCCTAACTACGAGACGCTATGATGTAACAATACTCATTTAAGGCAACGAGAAAAATACTGAAGATTCGAGTAACGTGACTTCAACAATACCACAACAATTGAACTGCATACCCAACGCACGAGTCGAAATGAGCTACGTAACAAAACTTGTCACAACTAACGTTTTTTAAACAATCAACGTCATGAAAACTAAACAATCATTAAGTCACACAATGAACTAAATAATAACATTCTTGTATTCAATTACAGCTACTTATTCATTAAGAGAGAAAGTCATTGTTAAGAGTACACATCCCAAATGTGATATATATATTATAACTTTTTAATTGGTCCCGTGTAAGAAATTACAACAAAGCATTAATTTTTAGATCTGTAATTCTGGATCCTCAAATGAAAATTATTAGAATGTCCGAAGATGCGAAGTTTCGTGGGATTTGCCAAATCCATAATAAATACGAGTAAGCGAAAATTACCATCCGGTTTTTATTCATAAGGAAAGTGATAAAAAAAACAACCTAAATTTTATTTAATAAAAATGATAAGTCTTCGGATTTGCAACGCTAAAATCAGGGGTTCGATTCCATTCGGTGAGCCCTCCAGTGGCACAGCGGTATGTCTCGATACCCGTGGTAGGCAGAGCACATATAGTCAATTGTTTAACTTTGTGCATAACTACAAACAAACAAACCACTCGGTGAACACAGCAGATAGCCAGATGTGGCTTTGCTTTAAGAAAACACACACAGTATTCAAACTGTAAACATTAATGAGCAGAAGAAAAAAAAAAGGCCGCTTTGACAGCTAAAGTGAACAAGAATGTATCCAGAAGTAGGCTCTTAATTTGTATTGTTCACGTGGTTTACTTTAAGACGTCAATCATTGAAACATTACCCGTCATGCCTTCATTTTTGTAATCAACCATCTTCGCTACAGTATACTGTAACATGTACGTATGTAAATAAATCATGACTGTAGAGCAATATCTAGATATGTCGAAATTTGATGGCATATTTGTGAACTGCTGGAATGATAAATATCGAGTGGATAATCGCGATTCAACTATTGTGTAAGTTAAGACGGTCAACATTGGTCCTGTAACGACACACTATGACGAAATAATTCGATATTTTTAACAAGTTTTTTTATTTATTACAAACGGAATTATTTTGTTAAATTGTAGTAGAACTGATGAAAATTAAAACTGTTAAACATATCTGAGGCTATACTTACCGTGTTCGACATGAGCGTGGAGATAGAACGGCCAACCTCGTGATAATTCAAGTCGGTTTTCTTTGGTCCCAGTAAAATGAATATGAATCGAACAGGGATGGAAACCTTAAACACAAGTCAACATCAATCAGTCAAATATTCATCAATTGATTTTTGCAATAAAAGTTAGTTTAAAAATGTCTGCACTCAAGATAAGATTCATTTAATATACAAACTTGCGAACTGAAAAGCAACAACAACAATTAATAATTAGAAAATATATTCTAGAGTAGGGTGGGCGTGGTTTAGTGGTTAGCGCACCCGAACTGTGAAATCGATGGTTCGTGGTTTCGTCCTATTGCCACCAGAGTGCGCTCCGCACGTTGGGGAATATGGATGCCCTTAGTCGGTCAAGTAAAAATTGTCCAAGAGGTGCTGTTGACTAACCAGCATGGCCAGGTGGTTAGGGCACTCGACTCGCAATCTGAGGGTCGCGGGTTCGAATCCCCGTCCTACCAGACATGCTCGTCCTTTCAGCTGTGGGGGCATTATAATGTGACGGTCAGTCTCGCTATTCGTAGCCCAAGAGTTGGCGGTGGGTGGTGATGACTAGTTGCCTTCCCTCTAGTCTTACACTGCTAAATTAGGGACGGCTAGCGCAGATAGCCCTCGTGTGGCGCGAAATTTAAAAACAAACAAATACACTTGTGGATGGCTATATAGTTTATACAGAGATAACTCTTTGTGTAGCTTTTCAGGAAAATTCGAAAACAAAAATATTTGAGGTAGATGGTGCTAATTCTTACCTCTGTGATAGTTGGTAGGACTTGACCTTCAGCTAACCTTACGAAAACCACAGCAGGTTTTTCCAGAAAATCTAAAGAACCAACTAACACTGATGTTGCTTCTGCACCTTCCGGAATCCGTCGTAAAATGGTGGATTCCATTTTAGGCAGATCTTCGTGTGAGGCATTCCGTATGATTTGTTTAATTTCTTTTTGGGCCTGTGAACACCGTTATCGAGGTTATAATGAAATGAACATAATCAAGAAAACATTACAGTATAAGTAATTAATTTTACCGTTAAGTAATTGTAATTAAGTTGTCCATAACTTCAAATCTTGAACGATTTATTCAATACGGAACTTTAAAATATTGAGAAAAAATTAGATTAATTTATTCAGGATGGGCAACTTTCACAGACGAATCAATATTTCATTGTTTGGGAAGAAACAAAAATATATACAACTAAATAAATAAATAGAATAATGAAATGACTTATTCACAATAAACTACAATTTTAGGCCTCCTTATTGTTCCTAAATGCTCCCCCAATGGCACAGCGGTATGTCTGCGGACTTACAACTCTAGAATCCGGGTTTCGATACCCGTGATGAGCAGAGCACAGATATGATTCGTAAAAATTTCTACGTAATATTAATTTAATTCAATAAATATAAAACAATTTACCAGCCTAACCTACCTCAGGTTCCTCTGTGATTGAGATTCGGGTTTCAGATAATCCTGAAGAAAAGTTAGGTAAGGATCGGACTCCTGCAATATCTGGGGCTATGAAACTTCCATTTGAAGAAATTATTTTTGTTAACCTGTGAAGCAGACAAAGTAGATAATTTTAGAAATATGTTAAGCGGTTAATTTTGTTTATCCATGGATTTCAGTCATTACAAACGGTTCAAAATAAATGAATGGGGTAATTTAAAAGGTAAACAAGTAGTAATATAATTATTGATTTATCTTTATTGGGAAATAGTCATTAAACTAGTACAAAAAAAAATAATTTAAAACCCAGCAATGTAATTGTAAGTGACTTAATTAATAAGCTTACCTTGGAAACATTTATTTTGTACGTGTATTATTTCAAACATTTATGAGATAAGCCTAAAATGGATCGTGATGATAAGCCAGTACGTACTGAATCGGGCCAGGCATGGCCAGGTTGTTAGGGCGCTCGACTCGCAATCTGAGGGTCGCGGGTTA